TGCCATGGTGAGTTCCTGAGTGCTCTGCCACCTGTGCCATGGTGAGTTCCTGAGTGCTCTGCCACCTGTGCCATGGTGAGTTCCTGAGTGCTCTGTCAGCAGTGCCATGGTGAGTTCCTGAGTGCTCTGTCAGCAGTGCCATGGTGAGTTCCTTTCCTTGAGTGCCCTGTCAGCAGTGCCATGGTGAGTTCCTTGAGTGCTCTGCCACCTGTGCCACTGCCTGGAGAGACCTGCCACCACACCAGACACTGCTGGGCATGGTTTTCCCTGTGGTGAGCAGTGACAGGTGTGACAAGCTCATGTTTAACTGGACTCAGTGTCCAGCTCAGTATTGAGGGCAGAAGTCTGAGGTGAGGATAACTTCTGTCACTGATCAATAGAAAGATGATCCCATTTGGACAGGTTGGGACCTTGAGGGCACATTGGAGCTCCAGGGCAGTTGAATTTGGGAGAGTCTGTCTGGTGCCAAGGCCAGGACAGTGTTCTGTGCTCCACAGATGCTGCTGCAAGCTGGTGTTTATTCCCTGGTGGTTCCCATGTTATTTAAATACATCTTTGAGAAATACTAAACCTCTTCAGCAGCTGAATTGGATGCTAAAATAGAATAGAATACATCTTGAAGTATTATTGAGGAATAGGAAAAAGGTAAAATCAGGCTGTTTAGAGTAATACTGCCATAATGAGAGTAACTCACTGGGAAATAGCTTAGTGCTAAAGTGCTGCTATTTCCCTCCATAAGGGAAGGCTCCTGTCTTAGGGCAGGGGGAGGTTTATAAAGCAAACTCACTTGATCTTAGCACAAAGCATCAATAGACCTCTTAATAACTCACAGGACTTGGCAGCTTTCAGCCTTTTATAGTCTTTTATAAACTCTGCCTTTTGGAAATTAACTTTTCAGGCTTTTTGCAGATTTCCCTTGAGTCAATCTGCAAAAAGTCAGTTTTCCTTTGGTCAAATCTGAGGTTATCATTTGTAATTACCAGAGTGACTGCTCATCTTGCACAGCATTGGGGCTCTTTTTAAACCATCAGCTGTGCAGAGCACTGTGACTTTAAAATAGGTTATTTCTTCTGAGGATAACACATTGTCACACTTATTCTCTGTCTGCAGACAGGTAACATAAAACCCAATTATCTTGTCAGTCTGTGTCAAGCCTTTTGATGTGTGATTCTTCTCTTTCCCCCTCCCTGATCCATGTTGGTTTTTTTTCCCCACCAGATACCTACTGCTGTCTGTGTGGCAGCATGCTGCCCGAGGTGCTGGGCTTCCTGTGCCAGTGCTTAACCCTTTGTGGGGACATCCAGTTAATGCTGGCTCAGAATGCAAACAACAGAGCAGCCTACCTTGAAGAATATAATTACCAGACTAAAGAAGATCAGGAGATATTACACAGCCTTCACAGAGAATCCAGGTGCCAAGGTATGATCCTGCCACAGGAGAAGTGCCAGACTTTGGGTATGTGACAGACATCAATAATTCCACTGGGCTTCCTCAAAGCCATGCACCAGGAGAGCCTGTGGGTTATTGCACTTCACTTCTGCCTCCTTCAGAGAAGGCTCATCCTGCCTCTCACACAGAAGGGGCTTGTCAGGGGGTTGTATGACATGGCCTGAAGCTGTGAAACAACTAAAGGCAGTCACTGCTTCAGTGATAAACAAAATCTACCTGACATGAGTCTTGTACTTTCTCTGGGCAATTTCCCCTAGACTTAAATTAGAGAAATACTGTTTGACTCAAAGGCTTTGCATTTTGTTTTCCAGTGTTTGCCTGGGCTACAGATTTATCCACAGACTTGGAATACCAGCTTTCTGTCAGCTGTAAATGCTATGAAGCAGCTTATGAAATCCTCCTCTTCAGTAACTTAAAAAGCCAAAACCCAGAGCAGCACATCCAGGTGCTGAAGAGGATGGGCAATATCAGGAATGAGATTGGAGTGTTCTACATGAACCAGGCAGCTGCAGTGCAGACTGAGAGAGTGGGCAAGTATCCTTTTTCCATTCCTGACCATTTCATGGAGCTACAGCAGTGATAAAGTTCACTAATTGTATGAAAAAACCTATTTCTGTTTATAAAGAGGACGTTTAAATGAAAACGTCCTCTTTATAAACAGAAAAAGTTTAAACATTAAAAAACGTTTAAATTAAAAAACTTTGTAGTTTTTTAATGTCCACTGTGATTATTTATTTACAGTAGATGACTGTGGCTTGTAAACTGTAGTTAATTGAGCCTAAACTGAATAATGGAACATGTAGAAATTCCTTTAAATGTGTAGAATGATCTCAAAAAGCCATCAGGGAAAACTTCAAACTGAGGAATTTGAGTCTCTAAACCTTGTGCTTCACCCTAGTGAGTAAAAACGTCTCAACAACAGAGCAGCAGCTCTGGAAGAAAAGTTTCTCCTGCTTTGAAGAAGGGATTCAGAATTTTGAGTCCATTGATGATGCCACCAATGCTGCCCTTCTGCTGTGCAACACGGGGAGGCTGATGAGGATCTGTGCCCAGGCCCACTGTGCAGCTGAAGGGGACTTCAAAAGGGAGTTTTCCCCAGAAGAGGCCCTGTATTACAATAAGGTAACCCCAGACCCCAAAATTCCTCCTACTGCCAGGTATTTGTGAATACTTTGGTAAATATATTTAAATTTGGGTGGAATAATCTGGGATGGCTGTCCTGCCTCCATACTACCCTGCTCCTTGCTGTGAGGGCTTTGGTGGTGTTGCTGAGGTTTGATTGCTGTGACATTCACGTGCTGATATTGAACACACACACAAGGGAGAAGAATTGCACGGTCAGAACTGAAGGGATTATCAAATGGGAAATACAGAAAAAGGCTCAGGGAGATATTTTGAGTAAAGGGAAGCTGATTCATAGTTGTTAGAAATGCAGGCAGTAACTGTGTGTGTGATTTTGTCATTTGTAGGCTATTGACTACTACCTGAAGGCCCTGAGGTCTCTGGGGAAGAGGGATGTGCATCCAGCTGTTTGGGATTCTGTCAACTGGGAGCTGTCCACAACCTATTTCACCATGGCAACTCTGCAGCAGGATTATGCTCCCTTGTCCAGGAAGGCTCAGGAGCAGGTAACAGAGGGCTTTCATTGTGTCTGAAAAATGCATTGTTGGCATCCTGGAAAACTGAACAGGGAGCAAAGTTGGTACTGAATTGCAGAATCATGCAGTGGTTTGGGTTGGAAAAGACCTTAAAAGCCATCTTGTTCCTGGCATAGTGGCTGCTCCAAGCCCCATCCAGCCTGGCCTTGGGCACTGCCAGGGATCCAGGGGCAGCCACAGCTGCTCTGGGCACCTGTGCCAGGGCCTGCCACCGTCACAGGGAACAATTCCCAATTCCCAAAATCCCATCTAAGTCTCCTTTTCCTCTCCCTTTTCCTCCTCTCCCTTTTCCTCCTCTCCCTTTTCCTCCTCTCCCTTTTCCTCCTCTCCCTTTTCCTCCTCTCCCTTTTCCTCCTC